GGGGATACTGTATACCCTGCAGAAAGGACACTGACCCTCTCACTGTCTCTCCCAGTTCTCAAGGGCCTGCGTTTCTGCTGCTTTGTCAGCATACACTGTTCCCTGTTCTCTGTTCTGTCTTGTCACATATAAATTATCCTGATGCTGCTGTGTTAATCATTTACTTTCCTCTTGAATGGACACGCAGGTCAGCTAACAAACATTGTACAGATTATAAAAGTAAACTATACAATAAAAGAGATGAATGCCATCATTCCTTTTTTTTTTTAAGATTTAGTTACTTATTTTATGTAAGAACTGGGGTTCAGGCCAGATGCGTGGGAGGGTGAGAGGATTCACCAGAGACAGAGCAGGGAGCAGAACAGGCAGACTGATGAAATACACTGCTGAGGGGAGCAGCAGGCGAGACAGGAGGGGTCTGCCATGCCCTGTGGGACCCTTGCCAGCTGGCCAGGATTGAACCTGCGCTGCAGAGGCTGCTGACAGCTTCACAGCATGGTGTTCAACTGCCTGTGCCACCAGGAGAGGCCCCTATGACATCATTCTTAACAGAAACTCTAACGTATTTGCCTCTGCTCTGACCCCAGATTCCTGGAGCAATCCTGGGTGCGTTGAGGTGGGAACCCTTCTGCAGACCTCTGTTGAGCTGTGGGGACACTTGGCTCATTTTGGATTTAGCCAGTCAGCTGGGATTGATACCAGACTTGCCCTATAGGGACACTCTCATCCACCTCTGCTACCACCACCCCTGAGACCACACAGGAATAGCCTCCACTGTCCCGTTATTTAGCAATCAAGAAGTAGAGAGAGGGCCTCCCTGGTGGCATAGGGGTTAAGTCTCAGCGCTATCACCTCTAAGACTTGACTGGCCAGGGAGCTACCCTCATGGCACAGCAGACCTCTCCTGCCTCATCCGCTGCTCCCCTCAGCAGAGTATTTCAGTAGATCCACCCTGTTCCCCACTCTGTCTCTGGTGAATCCTCTCATCTCCCATAACTCTGACCTACACCCCAGCTCTATGCAAAAAGAAAGAAAAGTAGAGAGGTTTTCTTTTTTTTTTTTTTTTAATAAATTTTATTGTTATATTCCCCATACAATTGCAGCCCCCCCATTCTGACCCCAATCCCTCCCCTCCCACCCCCGCCCCCTAAAAGTGTCTCTGGTTCATAGTTTTTTGTTGATTTTGATTTTCACTTTCTTATAGTTATTCATTTTCCTGGTCCCTTATTTAAGTTTTCTAGAGAGTTTTTCTTAACCCACTTCATGATGCATGATTGACACAGAAAGCTGTAGGTATTTACTGTACACAGCACGATGAGTTTGATAATATGTAGACATCCATAAAAACATCACAATAATCTATACCATAAGCATATCTGTTACCTCCAGTTTCTACCACTCCTTTTATTATATTTAGTTTATGTGTGTGTGTAATGAGAATCCTTAAAATAAGATCTCCTCTTTTAGCAACTTTTTTAATGTACTACACAGAATTTCCACAGGCCCTGGGCTGTGCACAGAGGTGCTTCTTTAATGAATATTCTTAAGAAGTAGAAAAGACACAAAACTTTAAAAAAAAAATTAAAAATAATAATAATAATAAAAGAAGTAGAAAAGACACAGACAAAGTTTCAGAACCAGGCTCTGAGCTCTGTGTCCACATTATTCTGAAACCAGGGACACCTGCCTGGGGACCTGCCCCCTCACTGGATGGAACAGCCTCAGCCCCACCAGACCCACCTTCCTCATGTCTTCCCAGTGACTCCCAGGCTCATCTGTCCCTCTGTCCTTCCACCCCGCTGCTCCCTGCACTGCTCTCATCATGGCTCCTGGCCCCTGACAACAGAGACCAGCTCCTGTGGGGGAGAAGCAGCCTCACTGTGCCCTGACCAGACCCTCCAAGTCTATTTCCTACCATTTAGCCCTGCTCCCTTCCCCCTCCAGCTGCTCCTGAATCAGGTGTCACACAGGAGACCCAAATTGGCACCAGAACCTTCTATTCACACCCACAGGTCCAAGTGGTCCTCTAGGCCCTCACCATACCCCTTCTATCCCCTCCTCCTCTGAGGTGACCCCTCCTTCGACTAAAGAGCAGGAAGACAGGAGAGGCCTCAATACTGACACAGACTGTTCCTGCCCAAGTGACTACACCCCTACCCTTCCTCCTAGAATCCTGGGTGCCGGGGACCAGCCTCCAGCAAAATGTCGTGTCAGGTGTTCCTGAAAGGATGAGACGGCCTCTGCGACACATTAAGGGCTGAGGGGAAGGGGATGAGGTAGTGAGGAGACACTGACACTCCATGAGGTGCAAGTATCTTCTGCCGAGAGACTCAGCAGATCTTTATTTATTCATTTTTTGTAAGCAGGAAAAAAAATACATTATCATGTGTAAAGCAGAAACAATTAGTGTATTTTATTCCCATGGACTACTGGCTCCTATGGGTCCCAGCTAGAGGGTAACCTTCAAGGTTAATAGATAAAAAACCAAACCTAACACTAAAACTTATTATTTCAGCTAGACAATTACCTAAGACAGTGGATAGCCACCAGTACATCCCTATCAGCTAAAGCCTAAGAATCAAAAGACTATTCTATTCATATGGCCTTCAGCCGGAGACCAGCTACTACTCAGCTATCAAAACTTTTTCTACCTACAAACTTCTTAGCACAGTTAACTTCATTTAAAAACTTTCCTAAGAAACTTCTAAATAAAGAGGAAACTTCTAAAAAACAAAAGAAGGATTTACTATAATTGTTATGCTGGATTGCTTGTCAGATATGTACAATAAATCGTCTCCCATTGTCAAGTGGGCTGAATTGTATAGTAACTAATTTCTAAACAGGTAATTTTCCCTGCCAATTGCTTGCAGTCTGCTGATACGTATGATTTATTGCCTAATGTACTTTTTGGGAAATTTTGTCTCTCTTTATGACCAAGAACAAAAAGTGAAAGAATGTTAAATCTTCAGCCCCAAGGTGTGAGGCACAAGGAATCTTCAGCCCCACGGTGTGAGGCCCTTTAGCTTCGGCCCCACGTTGTGAGGCCCTTTAGCTTCGCTGCTTGCCAGTGTCTTATCTGGCTGGGGCAACAAGGCCTCCTGCAGCACCTGGGCATTTTACTCCAGCTTCCCCATACAGGGTGAGGCCTCTCATGCCCTTGAGCGGGACTCAGTAGGAGAACAAAGTCCTCCCCTTGGGAGTAAGCGTGACCTCTGGTTTGAGAGAGTTGGGCTGGCCAGAGACAGGATTCCCAATTATTCTTTAGGCACCTGAGAGGATGATGTCATCTTCTTGATCAGCAAAGGATATGACACATCCTTCTAGGTGCATGGGAAAGACCACGTGACTGTCAGAGTTGAAAAATGGAGGAACGAAGAGACCAAATAGGGAGGGTAGGAGATGGTACAGTGGGAGTTAGAGATGAGGCAGGAGCACCAGTGGGAGTGAGAGATGAAGCAGGAGCACCCCCAGGGCTGAGGAGGCCATGTCTGCTCTGCCTGAGGTCACAGTGATGACATGGTCCCTGCAGAGCTGGGAGAAGATTGGAGTCCCCATGAAAGGAATCAGAGCCTTATTGGGAGGAGAATATTGAGGACGCTCTGACTCTTCCAAGTCCCCACTGACCTGCCCACGGGGGGCTCCCCTCCATCTGGATGAAGATCTCACCCTCCTCAGATGACTCTCCCTGAGCCCAGAGAGAGAGAGGAGAGGAGGGAGACTGGGTGGGGAACAGTTCACAGAGGACTAGAGGACAAGCCCTGGCCAGGATTCTGGGGACAAGGACTCTGGGGGTGTAAAATAAGCAGTTCTGATCTAGATCCAGGATCTGACCCCATCTTGTCTGGGGGATCTGATCTCTCTTCCTCCCTTCAGACTTCTCTTCATTCTGCAGGGGAAGGGACTTAGCTAGATTATAACTGGGACTTCAGTATTTTCTGTTTTAATCTCAACAGCAGGGTATTTTTAATGTATTTTCTTTAAAATTATCTAGCATCTGGTGGGAATGCAAACTGGTCGATGGAAAGCTGTGTGGAGATTCATCAAATTACTGAAAATGGAGCTACTATATGACCCAGCAATTCCACTCCTAGGGATCTGCCCAAAGGACACAAAAACATTGTTTCAAAAGGAAACATGCATCCCTGTGTTTATCGCAGCACTATTGACAATAGGTAAACCTGAAACAACCCAAATGCCCCAAAACGGATGACAGGATCAGTAAGATGTGGTATATATACACAATGGAATACTATTCAGCAATTGGAAGAGATATGGTTACATTGTTGCAGCTAGAAGGGATTATGGTCCACTAAATAAGTCAGAAGGAAAAAGATGGTTTCACTTATAGGAGGAATATAGGGGAACAAAATAAGAGATCGGGAGTAAACAAGGCAAAATTCACAGGCAACTGTTAATCGGAGACGTTCAACAGAGAGGGGGTGATTAAAACAGGGAAAGAAAGACACAGGGGACTATGGTGATGGTGCATGGGTGACTTCATGGTGGGGAATTTATGGGACAACACGTGAGAGGAGAAATCAAACTTTGTACAAAAATGAACAACAATGTAATACACACATATAAACAACTATATTTTTAAAATAAAATAAAATAAATAAAAATTACCTAGCACAAAAGCCTTTCTACTATAATTAAAATAAAGCTTTTATAAAAATCTGTTTTAATAGTAAGAAATATTGTATAATTTTCAGGAAGTATCCATTAACATAACTCTCAGATAAATATATAAATAATTTATTCATTGTAATGAAATGGTAAATTGTTACCTGCTACAAAGAAGAATTTGAAGAATTTGTTCTTTATTATCCAGTATGAATGGCAGTTTCAAATAAACATGAAGAAAAATAATTTTTAATTATGAAAGTAATATGCTGAGATAAAGAAAAAATACAGTTACTGTCTATGAGACAATAAACTATAATTTTGAATTATCTTTTCAATCAAACTATAGCAAGTAACTTCACATTAAACACATCCTAAACTAATAATAAAAACCCAAGTCAAATCTTACACACTCCCTAGATAATTACGTAAATTTTTTTCTAGTAACATAATCTTCATAATGCCAAAATGACACTGAAAAGTCATGACATCCAACTTTTCACTTATTTGTTGGTTTTTAATAGTTTTCTTAACAATAGACAGAAAAATTTTGTGAATAATACTTGAGGAAGTAACAACCGCTGGGAAAAAAAAAATGCTAACCTCCCATCACAGGATCCAGAAGAAAAGCAGCTCAATCAGGTCAACTAGGAGAGACACGTGTCCTCAGCTGTGACTGGAGTGTCCCCTCCAGGGCTCATCCTGACACTGCAGGGACACGCTCCTCGGATCCAGCTCCAGGTCACACAGGAGGGCACGTGGGGGATGTGGGCCAGGAAGCAACACATGGTGATGGGAGAGTCCATGCCATGACTACTCAGCTCCATACACAATTCACATATATTTGACACCCACACAACACACCTGCATATTTATAACTATCAAGACAAAACTCCCTCTACAAGTGAGGATGTGCTTACTTTCCCCCAAATTAGGAGTCGACAGCCCCATCTTTGTAGCTACCACTCTATATTGTTTATTTCTTAAATTCAGTCACATTCCTTTTCCCTATTTTGTTACCCCAAAACTATCTTGCAAGTATAAGCTCCAACAATGTTTATAAAAACATAGGATAAGGAGAGGAAAAAAATGAATAATAAATACAAATTAACGCACACAACAACACAACACAAGAGGAAATATACAATCTGTTATACGGCTCGTTTTCTAGTGGGCAGCACACATGACTGACGTCTGTCTCCTGCACGACGTCCCCTTCTCCGTCTTCTCCTACCACCAGCACCACGTCAGTGTCCCCTGGGGGAGGATCACACCTTCCTCCCTGCAGGTCTGGTGCTCAGGATCCTGCTTCCTCTGGCAGCTGTGGTTCCCGTGACCCTTTGCCACAGGACGTGGAAGGACCGAGTTAGCACAGGGGTGCCTGGAGCTCAGGTCCCAGCTCCCCAAGTCACCCCGAGTCAAAAAATTTTCTTCATTCACATCTTAATTCAGGGAGCAGTTCTCTCCTTTCAGTGGATGTTGACCAAAAAGGGGAACCCAAATGATTCTCCTGAATTCCACACATTAACACAGCACAAGGTTTTTACAAATAACAGAAATTTTATGACATCTGGAAAAGTAGGTGTATTTCTTCCCTTCCAAACTCAGACACAGATGACGTAGAATATTAAGCTCCTCTAAAAGTCCATCATCCACCACTTCCGTGACAATGTCGGCTGCCCTGCTGCTCTGCTCAGAGTCCAGACACATCAGTATAGACCTTGGCACCCTCCTTCAGCCTCTGGTTTCCTCCGCACAATCTCAACTTGGATAAAGTTAAGTCCAGTGAATTTAGGAGAATAATTCAGAGCTGATCCCCTTTCTTGTTCTAACAGCATGAGTAACCCATGGAATGTTTTCTTTACCAAATGAAAGTATTTCTGATGGAAAAGTAAATCCCACACCAAACCATTTCAAAGTAAGACTATTGTATCCTTTGTGACCCCAGCAGAGGCCTGACCTGACTGTTCTCTCAGCCATGGCCCAGGAATCTGCACCCAGAGCAGGAGGATGAGACTCCAGCATCTGGGACTCACTCACAGGTTTGTCCACAGGGAACCTGCAGCCCCAAGAAGAGCCCAGGCCAGGATTGGGTAGGGAGGCACCTCATGGGGACACGGTCTCAGGGGTGCAGGGGGAGGAGGGGGGCTTCAAGCTCTGGGGGAGCCCCATCCACACCAGAGCCTGAGGGGATCCCCTCCCCTGAGGGACCCACAGTCTCCTCCAGAGGAGGATTGTCCATGGGCACAAAGGGCTTCTGGGGCCCAGTCTCCAGGGGGCAGAGGGTCATGGACACGTCTCCAAAACAGCAGACAAAATATGGAAAGAGAGTCCCAGAAAGGGACTCAGGAGGGAAGGAGAAGATGTGGGAGCCATCAGTCATGTCATAGAAGGAGACGTCCCCTTGAGCATAGTCTAGGAAAACGCCCACCCTGTGGGGAACCTGCCTAAGTGGTAGCAAAGTACGAGGGCTAGTGAAGGCTTTGAAGACATTTTCAAACAGCCCCACAACCCAGAAACCATCCATGGGGGATGGAGCCTTTTATCTCGTTTTCTCATCTTCCCTCCAGACCCCGAGCACCCACTCACTGCTGTCCCTACTCCTGACCTCCACTTCCCAGTAACAGCGCCCTGATGTGATGCCCTCAAGACCCCAAGCTAAAAATCCATTTTTCATGCCATCATGGTTGCAGGTCATACTCTTCTTGTCAGGAGAGAGCACAATATTGGAATGGAAAGGACTTGGATCCAGAGTGACAGACCCTGCAGAGAGAGGGAACCATTACTCAAGGACTCCCCTGCCACCCCATAACAAGGGCACAACAACCTCAGCCCAGATACTTAGTTTTTGGGGGGAGGGTATGATCCCTAAAACTAGACTCTCGTGACCCTAGCCCACAGTCTACCAAGCAAGAGAAGGAAACAGAGACTTATTGGGGGTCAGAGATGTCACAGGACCGTTGGGGACCAGCCTGGACTCCAAGGACTAAGGAGCTCCTTCAGCACGCATGACCAGTCACCCCAGGCCCAGCTGTGTGACATCATAACTGCACCCACCCCAACCAACCCCATGGAGGGTGCAGAATCTGTGTCCACACAGAGAACAGAAGGAAAGGCCAGAAGCTGAGCAGCCCCAGAGAGAACAGAGTCACTCACAGGCCCGGAACTGTTCCTTCCGCCAATCTGCAAGAGACACACATGTCACGTGAGGGACTCTAGATACTCACACATGAGGGCCCACGCCTAGTTTTCTATAAGAGAGTAACAGAATTTACAGATGAAAATATTTGCAAACATTTAGTTGATGCATCTATCTTTTAGATTCACACATGCGCGCGCACACACACATCATGATGCAACCTTCCCCGACAGTTGAACCATAAAGCTGAATACCCAGGATGGAGAGCCTGGACACCAACTGAACAAAATGACCATCAACTTATACTTTTCAAGTCACCAGCCACAAACCCATCCAGTACTGGGAGCCGCGCTACTCATGTCGTCTGACAAAAGTCCGAGCATGGGGCAGATTTCTGAAAAATCAGGAATCTCGTTAGCTGACTCCAAGATTCTCCTCATTTGTTTATGGCTAGTTTCTACCATTGCTAAAATACGCATTTAAAAGTAAAACTGCAAATACTGATCATTCACTGAATAACCAATTTGATGACAAATGGCACTGCATGATACAAATATTACATTTTTCATAAAATTAGTAGTCCTCTGCCAAAAAGGCAGCAATTCAACATTTGGCTTTACATTAACCAGTGAAAAAACTTCTGGAAACAAAAGGTTGTAAATATCTATCGGCCAAGTCTTTGATATAGAGATGTGGTCTTTTGAGGCAAGAGCTAATTGGAGAAAGAAATTCCTTTACTTTAAAGATAACAGTTGGGTGGCAGAGGCGAGCCATGCTCCAAGTATAAGAAAATTCCTGATAAACCAGGAGATGCCATAGTTGACTCCTGCTAAATTCTTCCTGTTTGTTTAGGGCTAATTCCCCTGGATGTGACAATTGGTATGGTAGCTGTTAGAGTATGCATTCAAGAATAAGTCAACAGCAATTTTGTGGCTGGTTGAGCTAGTAACCACGGCAGCACAAATAATGCACTTGGAAATAGTCAATGTTACAACTACTGATATGTCACATATTGACCATTTTTTTGAGGATCAAAGGCTATAACCATCTCCTGCTTTTGCCCCTCATAAAATATTTGTAGTTCCTTAAAACAACAACCAGCAACCTTATGGAGGAAGAGATTGCCCTTTGATCTTATAGTTAAATACTAAAACTAGACTGACTGGATAAGTAGAGAAGTGATAGGTAGAAAACTCTTTGTTTAGATTAGGAGACTTCCTCCCCTAATTGAGATTTGGGGGCTAGGGAAGAGTCAGTGCGGCTTGCCTGGCATTAACACCCTCCAGGCCTTTGGTTCCTTAATATCAAATCAATATTAAAACAATATACTATAGATGATGATTTCTATATAAAAGCCTTCTGTTTTTTACTTTAATCAATTAGTTCTATGTTGATCTAAACTTTATAGGTTAGTTAGAAATAATCTCTTTGTCTCCCTTTCCCCAGGTAACTTCCTGCCCTTTGTTTCCCTCAGCCCTTAGTTAATGGTTCACCATGGCAAACTTAGAAATGTTAGTTGCAGACACATAGGCTTTTTGCTAGTAATACAATAACTGTTGGATTGTTTAAAGTAAATAACTATTTTGAAAACATTTGTTTAGCAACTGTGCCTTCTTTAAGACAAAGAATAATAAATGTTACACCTCTGCCAGAAGGCAAACAGACCCTTGGGTGCTCCTGAAAAAGAACATGTGATGATTATTATCTTCCTACCTTATGCTTGTGCATTCACGATTTGCTTAGTATAAATAAAGGGCTGCTGAGACCCTCAGCGGGATGATGTCAGCACCCTGATCAAGTGTCTGGTCTCCTCATTTCCCCTCCCTTATCATTTCTCTACAATTGCGCCGACGCCTTCCCATCCTTCAGGAACCCCTGACACCCAGACTGCTGCAGCTGGCTCACTACAATCCAGCAAACTAGGTTTTTTTGGAAAAGTTTTACAGGAGATCAAAATGTTAAGGACTGAACATGATTATAAAGAACTAAGAGAACTGAATGCACAGTTTCTCTCTGAGGGGGGAGAAGCTACAACTCAGTGCAGGCCTGTGTGTGGCTGATGCTCCAGCCCCTGGGAGCAAAGGCAAAGCAGGGGCTGCCTGTGGAAGCTGAGAGACATGGAGCCTGGTAGGCAGAGCTTCATATTTTGTTTCCAAGTAAATCTCTTTGGCAAACAAAAAACAGAGAGAAAGAGAGAGAGAGAGCTACACCTTGACTGAGCTGCACGTGGTGGTGACTGTGACATCAGGTGACCAGGACACTCAGCAGAGGGTCCTGCCCACTCAGGAGGGGTTGGTGAGGGTTCTAGGGGGAGAGAGACATGCAGAGTAGGGGACATGGACACACACTGAGAGGATCAAGCACTAGTGACATCTCTCCACATTTTCATGGTTGTGGGAACAAAACCATCCCTACAGATAGAGAAGGACATAGAAATATTGTATTGACTCATCTGTCTCCTATAAGAATAGCCCAGAGAGGTAGAAACTTCCAAAAGAAACCTCTCTGTAAAGCAGAGTAATGGCTCCAGAGATGTGCATGTCCTCATCCCATGAACCCATAAATATGTGTCCTTAACAGAGAAAAGAGAAATCTGCAGGTGGGACAGAGACCGGGACGAGGAAAGGGGAGATTATTGATGATCACCAGGTAGAACCAATCACATGAGCCTTAGCAGCCGTGACCCTGCCCCTGTGCTCAGAGACAGTCACATGGTGACGGCAGCAGGGCCATAAAGAAGGTGCATGGCTGTGTGGACAGAGGATGGGGTCCCCAGTCAATGCAGGAGACCCCAGATCATGGGAAAGGAAGGGGCTCCTGGAAGGAAGGAGCTGCCAGACCCTGGAGTTAGTCCCAGGACACAGTCTCAGGTGTCTGCCCTGCAGGCGTGTGAGATGATAAACTGTGTGGGTGACGCTGCTCAGGGTGTGGTGACATGTGTCAGCAGCAGCTGGAGCTCTGATGCCCCATGTGGGGGCCCAGGCAGGTGAGCAGGGCCCTGGCAGGGGAGGATCTAGAGGGAGCACCAGGACTCCATGATGCACGTGGAGAGATGAGGACCCCAAAGTGTCACATGATCTTGGGGGAGGTGGAGGAGAGAGAGGGGCCTGGAGAGCAGGCAGGGAGAGATGGACGGGTGAGGAGAGGAGGACAAAGACATTGGGCAGGAGGAAGGAGCCAGAAGGTTTATCAATTTGCTGAGCAGAGACAGACCCAGACCCTGACTCTGCTGTGGAGGGAGGGTCACCCACAAGCCCTAATGACCCAATGGGATGTGCCTGCCCCCCTCAGCAGGTGCCACACAGGCTCTTAGACCAGTGGCCCCAGGGGAGCCCTTGAAATGACTGAAAGAGGAGCACAGGCCTCTCTATCCCAGAGCCCCAAGGCCATGTCATCCCCCACCCCACACCTGCCTGGGAAGGAGGAAGCAGGTCATTCCCCAACACTCAGGTCAGACACAGCAAGACTCTGAGAGGTTGTCAGAGGAGAGCCTGAGCTTCCCAACCATGTGAGCAGAGAGGCGGAGAGAGGAGAATCCAGGATCCACATTTTCAGGAATAAGGAACAACATCTTCTTGTGCACATGGTGTGTAAATGTGTGACACCAGCCACACCTGCACAAGCTCACTCAGAGAAGTTGGCATTTCCATCTTTGTTGAGTTGCTTGGTAAGAAACAAGAACATGTAGGGGCCTCCCTGGTGGTGCAAGTGGTTAAGATGCAGCACTATGAAGCTAGCCACAGCCACTGCAACATGAGTTCGATCCCTGGCCAGGGAGCTACCCACATGGCTCAGCAGACCTCTCCTGTCTCTCCCGCTGCTCCCCTCAGCAGTGTATTTCAGTCAGTCTGCCTGTTCTGCTCCCCACACTGTCTCTGATGAATCCTCTCACCCCCTACACCTCTGGCCTGTACCCCAGCTCTTGTATGCATAAATAAATAGATCTTTAAGAAAAAAGACAAAGGAAACAAAAACATGTAAAATGACTGGGTAGCCCGGTGACCAACTTGAGGAAAAATGGGATTTTAAATTTACTAGTCTTCATCCAAGACAGTAGGTGACATCCAAATACAACTTCATAACTCTTGCATTATATTGAAAAAAAGAGGGAGTAGAGAAGGAAAAAAAGTGGCAGAAGGAAGAAAAGGAGAAAAGAGAGGTGGCATTTTATTTGAGATACAGCCTGTCCAATACTGTTTATACAGTTCACTGCTCTACTCAGTTAATTTTATGGCCTACCTTTACCCAAAAATTTCTGTTTAGTTTACAAATAATATGAGATCACACATGTATCCACCTGAGAACCTGTCAATATGAAACTGTTATTTCTAGTGTATTAATGGCATTTCTTTAAAAATAAAAAGGGGGGTATGCAAAAAAAAAAGGCCTATGCTAAAATGCATGACACATGATTTCAGCAGAGGCTGGAATGATGTAAAGACGACTCTGTGACCCTCACTGTGTGAAAATGAGTCCCCAGGAGAACCGGGGAGACTCTCAGGAGGGTCCTCACACCTCTGGTCCCCAGGACACTTCCCCACAGCCCCCCTCTCTGTGTCTGTGTCCAGGACCATAAACAAACCCCTGAGCAGGGAAAGGGTATGTGACTCAGGCTCACAATGCTCAGATCTCCCTTCACCAGCATCTCTGACCTTCCCTGCAGGACCCGGTGCAGACCCTCCCTAGGGAACTCCGCAGGAGGTGGAGGAGGGTGGAGCACCTATTAGGCAACTCACTTAGATGACTGCCTCAAAAATGTTTTTATAAAATGTAAGTTGTTTTGAAATACTTCAAAAAGGGGTCAAGGGGCCCATTCTGTTTTATGACCAAGCCTGGCACAGCCTCTCCTCTGCCCACATTCAAACATGGAGGCTGTGACCTTTGGCCTCACTTCAGTCCCTCTGTCCATCTAAACCTCTAGAAGGCACTTCTCCCACACACCTCTCTGCTTCCTTCCATGTCTGCTCTTCCTCCATACATTTTTTTTTCCTAATTTTCCCCCAACACATAATCTGGGAAACAAAGTGATTCAAGTTTCTTCCTTTTCCAATCCTCATACCTTAACACTAAAAAAAAAAAATGATCCTGGGCCTCCCCTGGTGGCGCAGGCTGTTGAGCACCTCACTGTGAAGCTGTCCGCAGCCTCTGCAGTGCTGATTCCATCCCAGCCAGCCAGCGAGGGTTCCACACGGCGCGGCAGACCTCTCCTGTCGCGCTCACTGCTCCCCTCAGCAGTGTATTTCATCAGTCTGCCTGTTCTGTTCCCCGCTCTGTCTCTGGTGAATCCTCTCACCCTCCCACACATCTGGCTTGTACCCCAGTTCTTGTATAAATAAATAAATCTTAAAAAAAAAAAATAATGATCCTAAGCATTTCAGAGAATTCTCCTAAAATGGAAGGTGATAGTTTTGAACACTTATATATTACATTTTTAAATTTGTCACACACACACACACACACACACACACACAGGATTTTACATGTAATTTCAGACCTTTCACATACCCACCCAGGAGTGATAAACACCCCAGAAGCTCTGACCTGGACTCAGAACACCTGCTCTAAACAACTGATTTCTCAGCAACCAAAAAGGCTTAGAGGGAAAATCCCATTTGACATGAACCAGAGCTTGAGACAGAGAACCAAGGAAAACAGGAAAAACCAAAACTAGATCCAAAATAGAATGGGCTCCTGGACCCATGAGGATCCATAACCAAGGACCCCTTAGCAAGACCTGACTCTTACACAGACAAGCGGAATTCCTGAAACCTTCTGCAGAACAGCAATTCCTCACCCACAGAGTTGTCCCTGCTGCAGTCTCTCCTCACACTGACCCCACCCTGTCCCCACCCACAGGAAGACCAGGTGACAGGGGGTCAGAGAGTGTCCTGACCCCACATGACCTGTAGGGAGGACAGGGCAGGTGAAGGTAGGTCTGTGCTCACAAGTGGGGGGGGCCTGCAGTTCTCAGGAGGCTCCAGAGTGAAAGGAGACCAGGAAACCCAACCCTTCCTGGTGGGGTCCCCTGATAGAGAAGGGGCAGAGGGGAGGTTGGGAGGGGGTCTCAAGACCCTCAGGGCCACTCACCTGCGTACAGCTGGGCCTTCCTCCAGGCTGGAAGGGAACACACAGGTGAGACCTCAGCACAACCTCCTGCTCATGTGATCCAGGGGCCCTGGTCTCCCCCTGTTCTACATGTGAGACTCTCAAGCAGGTGGGGGGTGAGGGGAGAGGCTGAGAGGTCATGACTTCCTGCCCTGTGCAGACAGCAGGGGGTGGTTGGAAACCTTGGGTCAGGTCAGGACCCTGCAGGACAGACTGACCCAGCCCTGCCTGCTGCTGCTGTGGGGCTTTAGGCAAATCACTGAACCACTCCAGGCCCCATAAACCTTCAAAAACTCATTTCATTTGCTACTCGGAATAGTATACAGTCAAAACTGTATACAAAAATGTATTTTTAATGTGTATATAACTCCATAAGGATAATATTCAGTTTTCTCTGGAAACTAACACTAAGATAAAATAAAAACACAACATGTACATTAGACCAGCTCCACAGTAGAAGTGGCCCACATTTCTCAGATAAAATGTTTCTAGAGATAAACACTCTCTGGAAGATGGAAAGTCTCCCCACCCCCTCCCACTCCTTGTCCCATCTCTACTGATCAACATCTTCAGGAGCAGAGAGAACAGACTCTCCTTGGGTGGGGTTTGGGGAGAGAGGGCAGGAGGAGGTCATACTCCTAGACTTCAAGAGCCCAGTTATTTATGAGATCTTGGAACAGCTGGCTGTTGCTTCCAGGCGCTGACCAAGAACAAGATGCATTGAAGGCTAGAAAGCCAGCACCATGGTGGGAAAGTCAGGGTTGAATGGGACCAGGATGCAGGAGACTCCAGAGGTCACCACCCCACAGGATCCCCACAATGGGGGAAACAGCACCCAGATCTGGGAGAGCTTGGGAGAAGTGTTCTACCACTCACCAACTTCTACCCACATGTCTGTGCTCATACAGACAAGGGGAGGGACCCCTGAGCACAGGGGACAGGGACCCAGGACACCTGGAGCATCACTCACCGGCCAGGTAAGCTGCCTTCCTCTGGCCTGAAAAGAAACACAGGGAACAGGTGAGCTAAGAATGAAAATGTCTCCTAGGAAGGGGACACAGAGAATTCAGGAGGGAGAGCAGAACTTACCTAGAATTTTCTAGAGTTCATCTAAAAGAGAATGAAAAAAATATGCAAAAACTCCATCCTTAAAAAGAAAACTTGTGTGCCTAGAAAACCAATAAAAAGACCCTCTCTCTGACCTATAAGGTCCATCATCAGACCCATCCAACCTCCAAGCTCCTCTGTCCTCTCTGGGTCTCCTCAGCCTCCTGCACTGACCTCCCTGCAGTGTGGACTCTGGGCTCTGGCTCTGTGGTCAGCTTGTCCCTCTCAGCACCCACTGCACACTCACCAGCCTGGACCTTACCTGTGTCCTTCAGGGCCTCCTCCTTGGTCTGTCTGTCCTGCTCCTTCTCCTGGCGCAAATTCCTCTGTTCCTGCAGCTCCCACATATGTGTGGAATGTTCTCTCCGGGTGTAGCAGGCAGCCCCCAGGAGCAGGAGCAGCAGCAAGGGCAGGCTCACCAGGAAAGCCGGCTTCCAGGGAGAGGCCCGGGGGAAGAAGGGCTCTGCAGCCAGAGACCCCACAGAGACCCCATCAGGACACAGCCCAGGACAGTCCAGCCCAGCACCCCTGGGGATGCTGGCCCTCCCTCTAACCCTGCAGGAAGTGGGGAGGGGGGTGCAGCTCTGACCTGGTATGACAATGGCCATGGCTTTCTCCTGGCTCAGGGTTGGGTTGAGAATGGAGCAGGTCATGCTCCCCGCAGAGCTGTCTCTCACCACCAGAGCGGCCTTCACACTGAACAGCCCCTCAGTGTCCTGGGTGTAGACCTTGGAGAACTCCAGGAAATGCTCCCCATGGGGGTGTCTCCACTGCACCTGGGGCTCCGGGAACCAGCCTGAGGCTGTGCACGCCACGCGCACCCCGTCCTCCTCTGACCCCGTGATGTGCACTTGGGGGGCAGAGACCACACCTGCAGAGGGAAGATGAGAGAGCGCCAGGTTGGGCAGGGCCCTCCTGTGCACACCTTCAGGGGAGGCTGTCAAGGTGTATTCTGGAGGGTCTGGGGAGATAGGAACGAGATTGCCCTGACTCAGAGACCAGAAGGAAGGAACATGAGAGTCTGGAAGGACCTGGGCTCCTCCCCCAGCCCTGCAGGTAGAAAGATGATGCCCACAGGAGAGGAGAAGGAATGTCACGTCTCTGTCTCCAAACATATAAATCCTAAGGATAAATACATCAAGGATAAAACTCCAGATCAGTCTAGGAGGAACAAGGCATGTGCTACCAAATTTTCAAGGGCTTAATTGATACCGAGGCCTACATTTTGTCAACATAAAATCTATTTTGAGTGGACTTCTCCAGTTAACAAAAAATATTTGAAATTAGAAGATTTGTGGAATAGATGTTTTTGCATGTTTTAATCACCCCAAAACTCTTCTGTACCAAACTGGTCTTCCATTCTTCGGTGATTCAGGGAGAGGGAATCTCCCCAAGAGAGACTGTTCCCTGAGCTCTAGCCCCACAGGTCACCACCTCTCATAAGGGCTGTTCCCATCATTCATTCTCTCTCTGGGCTCTTCCTCTCTCTCTCTCTCTCTTTCTCTCTCCCCCCCTACTCCTCCCCCACCTCTCTTTCTCATCTCCTCTTCTCCTCTCCTCTACCCTCCCCTCTCATAGGTTACAAGTGTTTGGTCATGATTGCTAATCTCTACCTTTCTACCTATTATTTTTTATAATTTTGTAAATATTCTCAAATCTTTGTAGAATGTCTTTTCTTTCCCTGTTACAAGAGTGCTCTTCAAAGTCCACAAACAACTTCTCACCTGCACCCCAGAGCAGCTCCTCCTACAGCTCCATTCATCTGCTCTGGGGACTCAACAGGAGTCTCCTGCTTGGCAGCCCCAATCCTCATGTTCCTCACTCAGACTCCCTTTAGCACGGGAAACTCCAGACTTTATCTTGAAACCACCTCCATCTTCTTTGCTTTCTCTTATCTTGAGGGTGGTTTGTTACACCACAGACCCCCTGCTGAGCCTCTTTCCTGACTTTTCTCCCTGAACCTACTCCTTGAAGTCAGCGCAGTCCCAGGGTCCAGTCCTTCAGGCCCCATCTTATCTCACACCCTCTCCCAGGGCATCTTATCCCTCAACTTCTGTATCTCCTCATACATCACTTCCAGATTTCACCTCACCAGCTCTCCCGGCCTGCCCCATAGATCCATCTGTGTGGTACATCTACCACGATTCCTCACATGAACTTCACACTCACAATTCTACATCGGAACTCATGCTTTTGTCTCATCTGTGCTAAGATGGTAATAAAAATATCCCTAATTCTTCATGCTTCTACCTCATACTCTGCCACCTACATTTCAATTCCTCACATTCTGACTCTGAAATCAGGCAGGTGATATGTCTCTAATGAGAGATCAGTTAAGTTGAGTCAAGCAGGTTTAGAGTGCTGGCCCCGTGGGTCTTCCCTCTGCCATCTCCATGGAAGGACATCTCAGTCCAGGTGCTGGAGGATGAGCTCATGGAGCAGGGCCTGTCACCAGCCTTTCCAGCTGATGCTGTCCTCCCTCAACCAGGAGCTAGTGACGATTCATGTAACAAGCTCAGCTAAGGTCCACGTGGTGACCTTTTTATCTGACCAAAGATATATGAGTGAGGCCACGTGAAATTAGTCAAGTCCCTCCCAGGTTTGCTGAAGTTCTCACAGGCCCAATGTAAATACAAATCCATTACTACAGGCCACCAATACATTTCTCTGTGGTTGTTTTTTACACAGCATCATTATGGTGAGAGATAACTGATACATATCACAATGTTCCTAACATTAAATAATACACACACAAAACTTGGAAACCTTTGTGACCCAAGCTCCCCCATTGAACTCTCGGTCCCAATTCTAAGCATCCATTTGGGTTTTGTATCTAATCCTCGCTGATGACTGACCTCCCGTCCACCCACCGCCACAATGAGAAGTCAGGCATCCTCCTCCCCACCCCATACACAACTCCACGCCTCCAGACTTCCTCCCCTGCATTCTCCTCCTATTACTCCAGAGCCTGCATTCTAAGAACTGTTCTGCTTAAAATCTTCATCAGCTCCACATCCAAACACCATAACTCAGCACCCCGAGTCTTCTCTCTGCAACTGCCTTCTTCCCGACCCTCTTCTTTCTTTCTGTTTCCCTCACAATTTTTACCAAATGGTGCCTTCAAAGCCCCACACTCCAAACCCAAGAATCTAACTGCTATTAACCACAATCCCCATGCTCCATGGACTCCATCATCCTTTCTTCTGGTCTAAGGGTTTTATGGAATCTTGTTTGATAGAATGAAGTCCCAGGTCAAGGTCTACTTCCTATAGATTTTTATGACCCGCTTTGGTCGCACTGATCAACTAATCTCAACCCACGTTTCCAGTACCCATGACATCTTTTTGTAACAGTATTGTTACCTCTTAGCACCCTGTTTCCACACACTCTGCCACCAGCCATGAGGACTCCATGGGAGCCAAGAATACACAAAACACACATTCAGCCCAGATCACCCACAGTCACTATTCCCTCCACACAGAAGTTGCGTTCCCTGTGATTTACATCATGTTCGTTAAAGCTAACAATGCTGTAGGAAAGTGGTTAAGGACATAACTCCTAAGAGTTTTTCTTAATCTAGAAAGTTTTCCCGTTTTGCTTCTTTTACTTGTCTTTTTACTATATTTAAATTGGAATATGGATGTTAGTTAACCTATTTTGACAATCATCTCACTATAAGTGTAAATCAAATTATCATGCTCTATGCCTTAGACTCACACAATGATGTATATTAATTGTTTCTCAGTAAAACCAGGGGGAAAGATACACCAGATATCTGCTTAACTAAATTCCCATTTCCTTTGAGTATTTGCCAGATGGGACCAACCTGAGCTCCCATTTGCTGTTAAAACTTGCAAAATCCCCAATTCACATGGCTGGTCTGGTCCATTGCCACTGTGCAATGTAGCATCTTATTCTCATCACTTATTTCTTCCTAAAATCATTTATAAACTATTTATTATGATTGTTCTATCTCCCACTTGACAGCGAACTCACGAGTGAAGAACTTGGCTAGATTCACTGATGGATCCAAGTGCTTAGAACAGACCCAGACATACAGTAGGTCCTCTGTATATTTATGTTTAATACAACAAAGAATTAATAACTCTTTTCTTCTGCATGAATGAAATGAGAGACTAAATTATGTTATCTTTAGCTTCTTCCCAGCTACTAAATTCCTGCACTGAGAAGCCTAACCATGTTACCAACCTGCCACCTCTAACTCCAAACTGGCTTGCTCATAGAAGTCTCCATCTCTAAAGCTGCAGGTGTACAGCCCATTGTCAGCAGCCTGGACCTTGTGGATGTGAACAGCAGCCTCCCCCTTGCTGAGTAATTCTTCCACAAGCAAGGTCCTCCCTGCATACTGGGCCATCAGCTCCTCACTCCGCTCCTGTCGATCTTGATAGATGAACACCGATTCCAAGATAGTGGACCGGAACCACCTCAACTCCATGTTCTCTGCACTCATGACTGGGTCCAGGAAGCAGGACAGTGTGACGTCCTCACCCAGTACGGCCACAATGGAGTCCGAGGGGGCAATCACATGGAACTGTTCTGTGAAAACACATGGGAATTAGAAAGGTTGAGACACACACACCAAAAGCAGAGAACACAAACCATCACTGCGGGTGGTCCAGGAAGATTGAGGGAAATTGTCTAATGAGAAGACAGCTGACCTGAAGGTTGAGCAATGAGACCTCAAGAGGATGTGAATTCACAAGAAGTGAACAGCTCTCCAATATGCAATTTCAAAGATTTGAAAGATCTTCCTGTAAGGTAGGAGTTAAATATTGAAATAAAATCAAACAGGTGGGAGAAAACGGACAACGGTTAATCACAGAGCTACAACAAAATTCAGAATAATATAGTAATGGACTGAGAAATAAAGTTAATGAACAGAAATAAAATTTGAAGATTTCAATAATAAAATAACAGAGATGTAGGATGTACAAATATCAACAGAGAAGATACAAATCTGGAGAAAGCTATTGGAGCAAAATAGACTAAATGAAAGATTGAATCCATCATCTCAAAGATAATAATACACAAAGGACCCAGTTTGAAAAAGAAAGAGAAAAATGAAGAAAAAAAATGAAGAAATAGTTCAAGAACTACCCAAATCCATGAGAAAAGGCAACATAAGGATAATTGGTATTTCAAAAGGGAACAGCAAAATATCGGAACAAAAACCTTTCAGAAATACAGGAAAATGTCCAACCTGCAGAAAGAACTGAATATGTAAGTGAATAAGCTAAAAGAACCTCTTGGGCCTCCCCAGTGGCGCAGCAGTTGAGCACTGGCTGTGAAGCTGCCTGCAGCCTCTGCGGCACTGGTTTTATCCCCAGCCACTGGCAAGGGTCCCACATCGTGTGCAGACCTCTCCTGCTGCTCCTGCTGCTCCCCTCAGCAGTGTATTTCATCAGTCTGCCTGTTCTATTCCCCACTCTGGCTCTGGTGAATTCTCTCGCCCTCCCATGCTTCTGACTGTACCCAGTGCTTGTATAAATAAATAAATAAATCTTTTAAAAAATAAAAAATAAATAAAAGAACCTCTTGCTAAATCAATATATTGGCACCTACAGCAAGACACAGTCATGAAACTACCAAGAGTTCCAGACAAATAGAGAATAGTGCAGATGGAGATGGGTGGGAAAAGCAGATCATCTATAAAGGTTCTCCCACAGGGTGTACATGTTTCCTGAGGGAACACTACAACCAAGGAGGGAGTGGCATCACATATTCAAAATGTTGTTATATTAATAAGTCCCAGGCCTTGTGTTTTCCCAAGAATACTATGGCCTATAAAGTGCTGCAAATATGAGGCAAAGCAAATAAATTCCAAGCAAACAGAAGCTGGAGATTGTGAACACTAGACATCCCCTACAAGAATTGATGGAAAGAGCACCCCTAAATAAATCAGAGAGAAAAAATGGAAAAGCAATTATGTAAAACCAGAAAACTAAAGACAAAAGGGCAGTAATAAATCTTCATGTATCACTAATCACCATGTATGTAATTAGACTGAATTCATGAATTAAGGAAGCACAGAGTCTGGTTAGAACAGAAAATGAAAACCACCTTTCTGTTGTCTGTAGGAGACACATCAATGCTCCAAAGGTAAACAGTGTGTACAAGGAATGGGGCCCACAAAAAAGGGAAGGTAAAGTCATATCAGATAAAAGAGGCTTTCAGCTAAAAAGATAATAGAGACAAAGATGGACATCATATAATGATGAAGGAATCCTACATCAGGAAGACAGAACACTCATCAATGTATTTTATACCAAACAAAAGAGCATCCAAATATGTATCAGGCACTTATCAACAAGTCTGCAAACAGATATTGGTAGCAACACAATAGAGGTGAAGGACTTCAACACCCCACTTTCATCAATGGACACATCCACCTGACACAAAATCAGCAAGGAAACTGTGGCCTTAAGGGAGGCATTAGACTATATGGTCCTACCAGACATTTGCAGGGCACTGACCATAAAGGAAGCTAAGGACACATTTTGTCAAGTGCACATGGAGCAATCTGCAGAATGGATCACATGTTGAGTCAAAACCAAAGTGTGATGAATAAATACATGATGAATGCATTCACAGAGTATCTCTCTGATCCCAAAGTTTCAAACTAGAAATCAACCATAAAAAAGAAGTAGGAAAACCTCTCATTTGTGGAGAGTGAACAACACTCCACTCCGTGAGGATGAAGTTAAGGAGGAAATCAAAGAAGAAATTAAAAATACATTGAGACAAATGAGAATGAGGACACAGCCTACCTATACGAAGCAGCAAAAGGAGTCCTAAGAGGAGAGTGTATAATATTACAGGTCCAAACCAAGAATGAAAATCTCATGTAAATAATCTAACCTACACCTAAAGGAACCAGAAAAAGAAGAACAGATGAAACCAAAAGATATTGAAGGAAGTAAATAATAAAAATTAAAGCAGAAATCAATGAAACCAAAATCAAAGACAGTCTAAAACATGAATGAAACTAAAGCTAGCTCATGAAAAATTGAACAAAATAGACAAATCTCTTGTTACACTTACAAGGAAAAATAAAAGAAGAAGAAAAACTCTAATGAATAGAATCAGAAATGAAAGAGAAATAACATAGGCATTTCAAGAACACAGAGGATCAGAAGAGAGAACCAAACATCTATATGCCAATACATGGAGTAATCTAGAAGAAATGGATAATTCTAAGAAGAATACAATCTTCTAAAACTGAATCAGAAGAAATAGAAAACCTGAACAGACTAATTACAAGCAAGGAAATTGAGAGAGAAATAAAGTCTCCCCAAAATCAGAAAGAGGACCAAATATTTTCACTAGTGAGTTCTACCCAGCCATCAAAGATGAATTAATCACTGTCCTTCTCAAGCTCTTCAAAAAATTGAGGTAGTGGGAATGATTCCAAACACATTTTTTTAAAGGTTTCAAGTTCAATAGTCACACTCTCTCCAAATACAAAAAGCAGTTACAATTCAACTCAATACAGAAGCTTGTGTGCAAAGTTATGGGAATTCCAAACACATTTTATGGACCAAAATGACCTTGATACCAAAAGCAGAGAACAACATCACAAATAAGAGAACTACAGAGCAATATCCCTGAAAAACATAATTGTAAAAATTCACAACAGAATCTCACCAAACCAAATTAAATAATATGAAAAGGATCACACATAAAGAGCAAGTGGGGTTTATCTCAGCAACACAATGATAGGTCAACATTTGAAAAATCAATTAATGATATTCCAGCTTTTACCAGTAAGATGGCTATTACCAAAATATGAAGAAATAATTAATTTTGGAGAAGTTCAGTAGATACAGGATACTTGCACATTACTGGTAGGAAAGTAATTAGTGCAGCCACTATATAAAACTGTGTGGCAGTTTCTCAAACACATAAAAATAGAATTACCATATGATCCAATTATTCAACCTCTGACTCTTTTTCTGCAGAATATGAAAACACTTATTCAAAATAGGAGACAAGCCCCCTATTGTTACTGCACACTATTTACAACAGCAAAGATAGCAAAACAACCCAAGTGCTAGAGGACAGATGAATAGATTAAAAAATTATATAATTATATGTGTGCACACACATCTTATATGTTTTTTCTTACGTATACAAATACAATGGACAAGGAAACAGATATTTAAAATGATAAATCTTGCCATTTTCAACAATATGAAAAAAACCTGAAGGAATTACATTAAGTCAAAAAGAGAAAGAGAAATACCCTAGGATTACACTCATGTGCACAATGTGAAGAAAAAAGCACTCAATAAACAAAACATTGGACTGTGTCAACAAAATGGCAGTCACTAGAGGGGAAGGAGGGTGGAGGAACAGCTTGGTGGAGGATAGTGACTAGAATTTTGATAGTGGGTGTTTGTGAAACACAGAGTTGCTAAGGTGAGATATTTCACACCTAAAATATATAGTCTGTAAATTAATATTACATCAATTAAAAAAAAAGAAAAAGTTTCTCCCAGCCTGCTCCCCAGTCAGAGCCTTTGGCTTGAGGAGGTCTGGGAAGGATAGGGCAGGACTGTGCTGTTTTCAGGAGCCCCCTAGACCTCCAAAGAGCCACTTCTCACTTGTGCTGCCCTCCTCTCTCACTTGGACACACAGACTAGTCTCTCCTGCCACCCCCAGTCTGGGCGCCTTTCACCTGGGAGCTGAACCAGGTCCTGCTCTGCTCACAGCCTGGTAGGGGCTCCCCAGCCCCACAGGGTGACCCCTTCCCAGGCCTCTGACACCCATTCCAGTTTCCCTCCCTCTCCCTCTGCTCCAGCTGATCCTCACCCCCTCTGTCTTTGCACACCCTACACCAGCCAGCTCCCCACAGGCTGTTCCTTCCATGGGACCCTCACTCCTAACACTCCCTATCCAGTGCTTTGCTCCATCCCATCATCTACACTGACCCCCTTGATAGACACAGCTGCCCCCACAAGTCCCTCCTTCCCCTACTGCCCAACCTGCTCCCAGCCTGTCCCTCTTCTCAGCCCCACTACTAGATTGTAGTTTTAACAATTCGTTACATGTATTATTCAATAACTCCTGCTAGAAAGCAAGTTGTATAAAAATAAAGAACCCAGGATGACATCACCAACATGGTGGTGAAGGGATGTTAGGATTAAATTCTCCCATAAAAACAACTGATAAGGAGAAATTACAATGAGATCCTGGAGGGATCCAGGGTGTTGATCAATACTCAGGGTGTTGGAAGAGAGGAGAGACAATCATAGATCAGTATAGCAATATTAACTCAAAATGTAAATGGACTAAACTCATCAATAAAAGACACAGAGCAGCAGTCTGGATTAAAAACAGAACCCAAGCTTTTGCTGTGTACAGGAAACACATTTAACTACAAAAGATAAACATAGATTGAAAGCAAAAGTTTGGAAAGCAATCCTATGAGTAAGTGGACCAAAAAACATGGTAGGAACAGCTATACTTACATTGGATAAAAAAGACTTTAAACTAAAAAAGGTAAAGAAAGACAAAGATGGTCACTACATTATGATTAAGGGGACAAAATATCAGGAAGAAATAACAGTCATCAACAAATACTTCCCAAATAAAAGAGCACCAAAATATATCAGACAATTATGATCAGCTCTGAAAACAGACATTAGAGAAAATACATATGTAGTATACTTCAACAACCCACTCTCACTGGTGGACATATCAATGAGACAAAAATTAAACAAGGACACTTGAGCTCTAAATAAGGACCTAGACCTCATGGGCTTAACAGACATCTATAAGACACTGCACCCAAAAAAATCCAAATACACGTTTTTTCAAGTGCACACAGATCATTCTCCAGGACTGGTCACATATTGGGACACAAGACGAACATCAACAGGTACATGAAGATCAAAATCATACCGGCTATCTTCTCCAATCACAAAGGCATAAAACTAGATATAAATCATGAAAAAAAGCAAGGAACCCTCCCACTTCATAGAGATTGAAACCTACACTACTTCCAGTGGAAGACCACTGGATTAATGATGAGATCAAAGAAGCAATTAAAGAAAACCTTGAGATGAATGACAATGAGGGCGCAACTTTCCAGAACGTATGGGACACAGCAAAAGCACTAGAAAGAGGAAAGTATATAGCAATACAGACTCACATCAAGAAACAAGAAAGAATGCAAAGAAACAACCTCATTTCCCATCTCAAAGAACTAGAAAAAGAACAACAAAAAACCCCAAAAGGCAGTCTAAGAAAGGAAATAATAAAAATCAAAGCAGAAATAAATGAAGTAGAAATTTAAAAAACAATCCAAAAGATCAACAAAACAAAAAGTTGGTTCTTCAAAAAAACAAAACAAAATAGACAAACCCTAGCCAAGCTCACAAAGAAAAAACAGAGAAGACACAAACAAATAGGATCATAAAAGAAAGAGGAGAAGTTATAATAGACATAGCAGAAATCAAAAGAATAATCAGAGATTACCATGAATAGTTATATGCAAACAAGTTCAACAATCTAGAAGACATGGATAAATTCCTAGAATTATACAATCATCCAAAAATGGATAAAGAAAAAACAGAACACCTAAACAGTCCAATCACAAGCAGTGAAATTGAAACGGTAATCAAAACCCTCCCCAGAAACACAAGAGCAGGAACAGTTTCACAAAAAATTCTACCAAACGTTCAGAAATGAACTAGTGCCTAACTTACACAAACTCTTTCCAAAAAATTGTAAAGGAAGGAATACTACCAAATATGTTCTATGAAGCCAACATGACACTAATACCAAAACCAAACAAGGACCACACACAACAAAGTAAACTACAGGCAAATCTCTCTAATGAACACTGATACAAAAATCCTCAACAAAACCCTAGCCAACAGAATCCAACAATGCATCAGAAAGATAATATACATAACCAAATGGGATTCATTCCAGGGACACAAGGATGGTTCATCATCTGAAAATCAATTAATGTGATCCCACACATGAACAAAAAGAAAAACAAAAATCATATGATGATATCAATAGATGCGGAGAAAACATTTGACGAAGTTCGACAACCATTTATGATAAAGGCCCTCAAAATTCTCAGGACAGAAGGAACATACCTTAATATAATAAAAGCCATATATATACAACAAACCTACAATCAATATTATCTTCAATGGTGAAGAGCTGAAGGCCTTTCCCTTAGGATCTGGAACAAGACAAAGATGTCCTCTCTCACCACAGCTCTTCAGTATAATACTGGAGGTCCTAGCCAGAGCAATAAGACAAGAGACAGACATACAAGCAATCCAAATAGGGAAAGAAGGAGTAAAACTATCACTATTTGCAGATGATATGATAATATACATAGGGAACCCCAAAAACTCCACAGAAAAACTAATCAAAATTTTAGGCCAGTTTAGCAAAATAACAGGATACAAATCAACACACAAAGAACAGTAACTCTCCTATATGCAAACATTCAATCTAAAGAAGAGATCAAGAAAATCTTCCCTTTTATAATTGAAAGAAAAAAATCAAATACTCGGGAATAAAACTAACAAAAGAGGTGAAGGACCTGTATAAAGATAGTTATAAAACATTGTTAAAAGAAATAGAAGAAAACACAAAGAAATAGAAAGATATCCCTTGCTCTTGGATTAGAAGAATTAACATTATCAAAATGGCCATCCTACCAAAAGCAATTTACAGATTCAATGCTATTGCAATAAAAAATTCAATGTCATTCTCCGAAGATATAGAACAAATATTGATGAAAGCCATATGGAGCCACAAAAAAAACTCAAATAGCAAAAGCTCTCCTGATTAAAAAGGAGACTGGAGGTATCACACTCCCAGACCTCAAACTAAGCATACTAGGCATACTATAAAGCCTAGGCATACTAGGCATACTACTAGGCATACTAAAAATAATTAAGACACTGGAACAGTATGGCATTGGAACAAAAACAGATAAACAGACCAATGGAACTGAATAAAAGCCCAGAAATAAACCTACATATTTATGGACAACTAATCTTCGGCAAAGGAGTAAAGAATATGTACCGGAACAAAGACAGTTGGTTCAAAAATTGTGGTCAGAAAACCAGACTGCTACATGCAAAAGAATGAAGCTAGACTACTACCTCACTCCATTCACAAAAACCAACTCAAAATGGATAAAAGAATTGGACATAAGACCTGAAACCATAAAATAGATAGAAGAAAATACAGGCAAAACACTGCATGACTTACATCTGAGTAACATCTTTAAAGAGACATCACTCAAAGCGGTGATAGTGAAGGCAAAGATAAACAGCTGGGACTACATCAAATTAAGGAGCTTCTGCACAGCAAAAGAGACAGTAACCAAAACAAAGAGACACCCCACTGACTGGGAGAAAATTTTTGCACACAATACAACTGACAAGGTACTAATCACAAAGATCCACAAAGAGCACACACATCTCAACAAAAACAAATTAAACAATCTTGTCCAAAATGGGCAAAACAACTCAAAAGACACTTATGCAAAGAGGAAATGCAAATGGCGAACAGGTATATGAAAAAAATGTTCAACATCAGTTGAAATCAGGGAAATACAAATCAAAAACACAATGAGATACCACCTCACACCAGTGAGAATGGCACATATTAAAGAACAGGCAACAGCAAATGTTTGTGAGGATGTGGTATAAAAGGAATTCTCGCACACTGCTGGTGGGAGTGCAAACTTGTCCAACCACTATGGAAAGCTGTCTGGAGGTTCCTCAAACTACTGAAAATGGAGCTTCCAATTGACCCAGCAATTCCACTCCTAGGAATCTACCCAAAGGACACAAAAACATGAATTCAAAAGGATACCTGCACCCCCATGTTTACTGCAGCACTATTTACAGTAGGTAAAACCTGGAAACAACTCAAATGCCCAATACCAGATGACTGGATCAAGAAGATGTGGTAGGGCCTCCCCGGTGGTGCAGCGGTTGAGTGCTGGGCTGCGAAGCTGCCCACAGCCTCTGCAGTGCCAGTTCAATCCCCGGCCGCCAGGCAAGGGTCCCACATGGCGTGAGACCTCTCCTGTGACACCTGCTGCTCCCCTCAGCAGTGAACTTCATCAGTCTGCCTGTTCTGTTCCCCACTCTGACTCTGGTGAATTTTCTCACCCTCCCACGCTTCTGAGTGTACCCAGTGCTTGTATAAATAAATAAATAAATCTTTAAAAAAAAAAAAAGAAGATGTGATACATATACACAATGGAATACTATTCAGCAATCAAAAAAGATAAACTTATGTCATTCGCAGCAGCATGGATGGAGCAACACAGATGGATGCTCAGTGAAATAAGCCAGAAGGAAAAAGAAAAATAGTGAATGGTTTCACTTAGATAGGAATATAAGGTAAACAAAGGATCAGGGAGAAAATCACAATAATAATAGAAATAATAAAACAAAATTAGCAGGCAGCCATAAATCAGAGATATTCTGCAAGGGAATGGGAGGAAGAGGGATCAAAACAGGGAAGAGAAGAGCATATAGGGACTATGGTGATGATTTGCGGATGAATTGGTGATGGGAATTTCATGGGAACTACACCTGAAAGGAGAAAAATGATGTAATATATACATATTAAAAATAAATAAATAAAATTCATTCAAAGTAAAATACAAATTAAAAATAAATAAATAAATAATCCTGTTGGTACACAGCACTTAAGGTATAATTTGGGAGTATAAATATGGGTAGAAATAAATGGATTAATGAATGACAAGATTTTCTGATCATATAAAGCAAAATCAAAAAAGGAAGGGAAAGGTATTCACATTTTTTGACAGGTGACTTTTTAAACACCATAAACCCCTGACTGAGCAATTGTCATCCCTCCCTCCCTTTCATGTGACAGCTCAGTGACTACTCTTAACTGTTTTATCACAGAAGTGGTTGGGGAGTAACCCAATCTTTCCAGAGCCAGGGCCCCCAACAGCCATCCTTCCTGAAGGAAGAGCCCCCAGAACCCCTGGGCCCCACCCACCCGAGGGAGACACAGGACAGAGAGGGACACACTCACCTGGGGACCCCCCAGAGGGCACTGGAGGAGGAGCAGCAGGGAGGGGAGGAGGTAGAGCACAGAGCTATGGCAGGAGCAGGGCGCCATCTCCTCAGGGCTGGGGAAAGACGGGGCAAGAGGCAGCCAGGTCCACACAAAGGAGAAGGGCAGCCAGGAGCTCTGGGCTCAGCAGGGAGCAGGGCCCAAGGACCCCCCACCAGCAGGAGCAGGGCCCTTCCTGGTGAGCCCTTAGGCTCTGAGACCAAGGAGGACAGACCTGGCTCCTGTCAGGGCTTCTGAGCCTCTGTGTTGCTAGAGACCATGAGGTTTATTGGAGGAAAACATCCTCCCTTCCCTTCCCACCCCATGAACCCCCAACCCAGACCCACTCTGCTCAGAGCACCAGGACCCTCCATTCCCAGCACCTGGGCCCAGGATGCAAACTGCCCTCCCCTCCCCATCATCACACCCATGACTCCCCAGGACAGAGGCCCAGACCCAGATCCCCACGAAGTACAGGCCAGCGCCTGCTTGTGGTCCTACCCCCCTTAGTGTGAGCAGGTGTCCCTGAGAAGCATCAGGACACACGATACTGTCCCCAAGGCGTCGGGGTCCCCCCACAGGCCCCTGTCCTGCTCTGTCTGCTTGTTCAGTTCACCTGAAGGTCAGTCCCTCCCCAGCCCTGACCTGCCAGGGCCAAGGACAAGGTCCTGCCCCAAACACAGCAGGAGATGGGTCAGATCCCCACTGAGTATTTGGCCTCCTCCTCTCTAACTCTGTGGGGGATCCTGCTTTGGAGTAAGGGATCCAGTGGGACAGAGCAGCAGAGAAGGGAAATGAGTCCTGCAGAGAAAACACCCTCAAACCTCCTACTGGCTGGGGTTGGGGGAGACAGGGGATGGTCCTGGGACGACAGATTCTGGGGTCTGATTGTGAGGTCCCTTCAGGACTCAGCCATTCTCTGTGTGACCATCTTGTGCAAGTCTCTTAACCTTCCTGCCTCAGTTTCCTCATCTGCAAAATTGGAATAGTGACAGCATCTCCCCCCCAAGGCTGGAATAAGAATGACGTGAAGTTGTATTGGAAGAGTCACTGAATGTCATTAGTAGAGGGTCCTGCCTCAGCGACTGTTACAGACACATCATCAAAATAAATGAAGTGTAACCTTCAGTGAGGTTGTGCTGGGCCTTATTAGAGCTGCACCATTTCCTGGGCAACTCCCCACCCTGACTCCAGCCACACCACATTCACAGACCCCTCCTTACAGCTTGCTGCTCCACACATTGGTCTTCTTGGAAGACAGATGTCCTCAAAGCTCACATACCTGCTTTGAAGGTGGAGAATTCTAGAGCATCTCTTGAAGATTGAGAAGCTTCAGGGTTTCCTGAAGAGTTGGAACCACTAGTAGCTGCTCGGCAGCCATACTGGGTGCCAAGACGGCATGTGGCTGAGAGAAGAGAGTTCCCAGGAGAGCAGGGAAGCAGAACCTCTCTCACGTTGAGGGATATCCATAGAGACCAGCCCTGGGACCCCAACAAAGCTCTCCCGGTGCAAGTAGTCACCCTTCTAAGGTTCCTTCCACCACTTGAAAGTGAAAGCTGAAATGCAATCCCAGCAGCCTCCACCCTGCCCTCTGGAGAGTGCACCCTGGTTATCAGGAGGAAAACAGCAGGATTATGGGTGCCAGCAGAGGGGAGGGGCAGGCACCCTGACACCCCTGAAGGCACAGAAGGAGGCGCCCACCAAGCACCCACTGTTAAGCACCCACTGTGCTCCAGGCTGCTTGGCTTCCAGATCCAGAACTATGAGTGAGTGTGGGGCCCAGTCAGGACTGACACTGAGTCCCGTGCAGGGCTCTGCCTGTGCCCTATGGCGACCACCCCAGTGACCCTCAAGGGACTGCCCCTCACCTCCTCCAGTCCATTTCCTCCCAATGCAATGACCCTCTCCAGTCAGCTCATGTTACCTCCCTGCCTCACCTTTCAAGAGATCCCTCTGCCTAAATGAGGGGCTCCCAGTCATCCCCCTCCTTCTCTGACCCCCTCCCATTGCTCTCCCAGGGGCCCCTCCTGGCTCAGGTGACTCCTCCAATTCAGGGAGCTCTCCCAGCCTCAGGCATCCTCTGCGGGGGGCCTTGCTGCCCCAGCCAGATAAGATGCTGGCAAGCGGTTAAGAAAAGAGCCTCACACCATGGGGCTGAAGCTCAAAGAGCCTCACACCATGGGGCTGAAGAAAAAGGGCCTCACACCTTGGGGCCGAAGATTTCCAAAGAGCCTCACACCGTGGAGCTGAAGATTAATCTGTAACCTATAAGCATCCCTTTGTATTTTGTTCTTGGTCATAAAAAGAGAAAAACTTCTCAGAAAGTACATTGGTCAATAAATTATATGTATAGAATACTGTAAGTAAATGGCACAAAGAAATACCTGCTTCAAAATTAAACACTGTAAATTTGGCCTGCCTGACAGTGGGAAAGAGTTTGTTACACACGAGCATGCCTGACAAGCAACCCAGGACAACGATTATACTAAGTCCTTCTTTTGCTTTTCTTTGAAGTTTCTTAGGAAGTTTTTAAATGAAGTTCATTGTGTTAAGAAGTTTCTAGGTAGAAAACCCTGCTAGCTGATAACCAGAAAGCAGCTGGTCTCCGGCTGAAGGCCATACGAATAGAAGAGTCTTTGGATGCTTAGACTTTAGCTGATAGGAGTGTACTGGCGGCTATCCACTGTCTTAGGTAATTGTCTAAGCGAAAATAATGAGTTTTCGTGTAAGGTTTAGTTTTTTAATCTATTAACCTTGAAGGTTGCCATCTTGCTGAGAGCACGTAGCAGCCAAAAGTCTATGGGAAAAGAATGCACTGATTGTTTCTGCTTTGCTTCTCTGCACGTGATGATGTCATCTCACTTGCTAAAAATGAATAAATAAAGACCTGCTGAGTCCCTCAGTAGAAGAGACTTGCACCTCGTCAAGTGTCAGTGTCTTCTCACTACCTCATCCCCTTCCCTTTAGCCCTTAAAGTTTCGCCCACGCTGTCTCATCCTTTCAGGGACACCTGACATGACATTTTGACAAGGCTGGTCTTTGGCAATCCTCACAGTCCCTGATGCCCCTGCTGTCTCTGCTCCCCAATCCTCTCACCTTTCAGGCCTCACCTGAAGTGACCTGTGAAAGGTCCATGCAGGAGGCCAGAATGCAAAAACCCACCAGGTAGCCCACCTGGGAACAGGAACGCGGAAGCCTGCCTAGAGGATTCAGACAATGAACCTTCCCCCTCCCTACAACTCTTTTCTCAGACAAAGAAACTCTCCCCACCCTACAAACTTTTTCCCACCTTAGGAACCCAGTCTCCCACCTCACCTCTCCTCACCCTATATACCCTGCCTCCCCCTGATAACGTGAGTGGCTTCACGGACCCCCACTTTAGGTCCGTGAGGTCCGCCTGGGGCACAATACATTTTCCCTTCCTTTGAGAAATTTAGCCTGGCTCTCCTTTTCTTTACCACGCCAAAACTTTCAACCTGCTTAGAGGGGCTTCTCCCAACCCCACTTGTGTAATCCACACCTCCTTGATGGGGTTGGGGTGCCTGTTCCTCCTCACAGCCCTGACATATGTCATCCCATGTGGGATCCCGGGGGGAGGCCCTGTGTGTCCTGCTCCGTGGCCAGCAGGGAAGGGCCTCACCAGCCTCAGCTGAGCTCATCTGCAGAGGAGACGCTGCTTCTGCCCATCGGCCCCTTGGCCTCGTCCACTCAGAAAACCCCTCTGTCCACTGAGAACATGAGATGCCACCTCCGACCTGAGCACCAGCCGCTGATGGGCACATTGTCCACCACACTACCCTGTCTGTTTTTCTATCCCCTGCCCCCAACAAATCATCACGAATCACAGCATCACTGAGCTGGAAACATTCAGGTCAGCATCTGTGTCTTCCCCTCAGTCCTGCTCAAGCTCAGGGTCACCAGGTAGTACTTCTGGTCAAAGTCACCCTCATGCACTCACTGCCCCTCTGACACCACCAACCCCTGACCAATGGGGACACATCTCAAGACCTAGGAGACATTAGAGGGATTTGATAAACAGGTGACAGAGAGAAGAAAACCAAACCCTATTGAACACCAACTACGTGCCAGGAACTGTGCTACACAGACTGAACTTGTGGCCTTCATTCTCACACCTGCAAACAGAGAAGAGGGCAGAGCTGAGTCCTGCATCTATTTGATAGCATTCAATCCATTGACGTTGTAGAGGGGGAGGGGCTGCAGCTGCAAGTGACTGTCCCCAACCTCACCCCAGCCCCCAACCCTGCCTCAGCTCTCAAGCCCAGCCCAGCCCACACCTCCACACAGCCTAGTAGTAAAGAGCTGGCAGAGAACCTTGGACACAGAGCTGCCCAGGATCCTCTTGTGGACACACCCAGAAATCTTATCTCCCCTTGAATGAGCTGCCCTTGGGTCCAGTGGGGGGGAGAGAAAGGAGGGGAGAACACAGAGCATGTGTCCCTGGGGGACACCGGACACCTACCAAGAAGGACACACACCCAGACACAACCAGCAGAGGCTGCCATAGCAGTGAGGTCTGGACAGCTATGAATGTGGAGGTGAAAAACACAGAAAATGACCACAATAGTCTGAAAGTCAATACTGCACCACAGAGGGAGAACAGATCTCCAGACTCACTCACAAAGAAATGGACCAATTGCCCCTCTCTTCAGACACAGTATTCAAGTTTGCCATCGCAGAGAGCTTTGAGGAACTCAGAGAAGACAGAGATTAGCAGGTTATGAAAGGAAAATTAGGAAAAAAATGAGTGTCCAGAAACAAAATCAGCAAACATAAGAGTGAATATCATACTCTAAAAAAGGAAATAAAGGAATTCAATAAGAAAAGATTAAAATGGAGATGACAATTATAGAAATTTCTAGTAGAGTCAACCAAAAGGAGAGTGAATCAATGAACTGGAGTTAAAAGTTTCAAAGAGGGCCTCCCCGGTGGCGCAGCGGTTGAGCACTGGGTTGCGAAGCTGCCCAAGGCCTCTGCGGCACCGGTTCGATCCCCGGCTGCTCCCCGGCCACCAGAGGAGGGTCCCACATGGCGCGCAGACCTCTCCTGCCGCCCGCTGCTCCCCTCAGCAGTGTACTTCTGTCCTTCTGCCTGCTCTGCTCCCCGCTCTGGCTCTGGTGAATTCTCTCACCCTCCCGCACTTCTGACTGTACCCAGTGCTTGTATAAATAAATAAATAAATAAATCTTAAAAAAAAAATTCAGAAAATCTTTAAAAAAAAAAAAAGTTTCAAAGAAACAAGACATATGAGAAAAAGTTGGGCCTCCCTGGTGATGCAAGGGATTAGGTCTCAGCACTATGGTTCCCGGCCAGGGAGCAACCCACATAGTGCAGCAGACCTCTCCTGGTCCCCTTAGCAGTGCATTTCAGTCGGTCTGCCTGTTCTGTTCCCTGCTCTGTCTCTGGTGAATCCTCTCATCCCCTCACCTCTGGCCTGTGCCCCAATTCTCTTATGCATAAATAAATAAAATAAAACTTTTTTAAAAAAGAAAAAAGTTAACACTTAGGGAAAAGGAAGGAGGAGGGGGGAAGGCAGAGGAAACCCCTCATGAACTCTCCAGAACCGTGAGGAAAGCAATACAAGAATAACGGGTGAGAGCAGTGAAGGAACAGAGCCCATATTTAAAGAAGTGATAGGAAAAACTCCCCAAACCAGGAAGAGGAAATAAACACATACAATAAATACATGAATCCAGGAGCTTAATGGACGCCGGAGACATAAACCAGATGAGCCCAACTCCAGGCGGTGAGACCCCAAGGGCTGCAGACACAGAAGGAAGTTGCAGTTGGTGGGGAGAATGAGACAGTCCATAGAGGACCCCAGGCCAGGCGTCATCAGGCTTCCCAGGAAAAGTTCTGTCAGCCGGGAGAAGGGAAACTGACAGATACGACTAGTCAACAGTATTCTAACCTACCAGGCTCTCCTTACACATCAGGGAGAACCGAAAGCTTGCTAAGGAGAAACTGAGGCATCTGCAAAAACTAAACCCCCACTCCAATACATATGGAGAGGAACTCTGTCATCAAAGCCAAATAGGAAATCACAAAAAAGAACTGAAAAATTAAAGATACAACCAAAAACAAAATGTCAGCAAGACACTTCAATATTCACTCTAAATTTAACAGGCTGCATTGAATAATTTGTTTTTTCTTTGATTTCCTCATTGTCTTAGGGGGAAAGGATGTCCTGTGCAAACTCCATACAGGCTTTGTGGACTCCACCCCCACTCCATCAAGACACTGGGAACTACAACTCCCATGATCCCCAAAGGGAGGTTACGAGGACCTAAGTGCAGAGTTAAGCAGCCATGTTCTCTGTTTGGGAATATAACCAGCCATGTGAGTGGACTCTCTCTCTTGCCCAGGCAGCGCTTGGTCTCAGAGGGTCATTTG